TCAGACGCTTAACCGACTGAGCCACCCAGGCGCCCCCCTAAGCCTCTTTTCTAAGCCGATCCAAATTCTGTAGACCCTGCATGTCCATCACCTGTTGTCTACTTAATATGTTTACTGAGCGCATACTTGAAGCATTGTCAGACCTTCACATGTGCTATCTCAATGCCTCCCCCAAATATCAGGTGGTCCTGTCCTGTCTATTTAAGAAAACTGAAGCTCAGTAAAGTTAAGAAACTTTTCACATGTATTAAGGACAGAATAAGAATAAGAAGAAAGCCCCAGTTTGCAAAGCTTGGTGTTTGTTTGTTTGTTTGTATATATTAGTTTGAAGCTTCTTGGTAGAGAATGCTTTTCCAGTGAAGATAAACTGGCAAGGGCAGGAGATTTATCATTAGCTTTAAATTAAAAGTTTACACCATTAGGTTTGTGACTGTGCGCTTGCTCTATTCTCAATAATTTAGCAGTCCATTGTTTCCTGAAAGTTTTAGGGAGACGCTGGCTGGATGAGGAGAACTATGTGAGAAAATTCCAAGCACTAAATGACGCTTTTCGTTTGCTCCACAGATTACGTATTGTTGGTTATACTAAGAAAAACAGCTGTGTTTACGTCTCACCGACAGGAATTTTTTCTGAGGACTGTGACACAGACAATAAATGGATCTGTCAGAAAGAACTACAACCTGTCAGAAATAAGGCGTGTTCGGGCTCTTGACTACGCATTCCCTCTCAATTTCTCTACTTTCCATCACAGGTCTCTGCCATCTATACAGCTAACCTGGCCCGAAGTATATCTAGAAGCACAAAGTGAACCAATACTGACTATTCTAAAACTGTCGTGAATCTTACAGAAGTTCACGGCTAACCTACTCATTGTATGAATGAGGAAGCAAATACATAGGGAAACCAAGTATCATTTTAAGATACAGTGACGTTCCATGGAGAGAAGCCCAGACCAGCTGACTGGTTTCCAGTCTTGGCTTATACATGTGGCCTTCATTGATCCCCTCTATGCTTTAGCTCACCTCTAGAAAAGTTACAGTAAAAGATTTCTAAAGTCCTGTGGATATTTCATAGTCTATGATTTTTCATATTATCACACAACTGGATTGTTCCAGAACATTGGCCTAAGTCCATTCTCTTGACTCTGATATCAGAATCTCATGACCAAAGGATCTTGGGAAGGGACCTAAACTCTTCCCGCCATTCCAGTGTTCTTCCTATTTGAATTTTCTCATTACTTCTTTATTTTCCTTCTATGTCCCCTTCTCTCTAGGCTCACACACAAGCTGTAGGAAATATGTAATTAAATTTTTCATTATTTAGTGGAAAATAAGTGATTTTTTTCATCAACAGGGAAATATTTATTCAGATAAATGTCGGGAGTGTTCACTTTTTAAAAATATGCCACATTTTCTATGGAGATCAAACAATAATAATCCTGGACTTATTCTGTAAGGAGGTTTACAATAAAATGTCTAAAAAATAGGTATCTACTTACTTTGATCATTCCATGCCAATTTGAATTACACAAATTCAAATACATGTAATAATGACCTAAATATTTCAATTTCTGTTTTTATGATGATTTATAATACTTGTTAATATAAAATTTTGAATATATCCAAACCCCGAAGCATAATTCATTTTGTGTCGGATACTTGGGAAATAAATTACTTAGGGAGACATTCTACACAAGAGCGTCATTACAAACGATGTAACATAAAAGTGAGACTATGAAATGTTTGGCACCCTTGAGGAAATGACCTGCAAAGAACAGAAACCTGTGTTGCAAGAAAAAAGTGTTTCCGTAACTGACAACATACATTTCCACCCTTTGGAGTGACATTCAGTTCCACCTTCTAAAGCGAATCAGGATAAGGCTAAGTGCATCCAGTTAAACCAGAATTCATTCCAAACATGGGCCTCTTCCTTCTCCTACACCTGTTAGATCTGAAATGAAGTGCCCCAAAAGTGCACATCCATAAGAAACTTTTACAAAAAAAAACTGACTCCAAGAACTTAGCGTCTTGGACTTTTGCTATTGCGGTATGAGATTATCAGACAGGCTTATCGCTGGACGATACCAGAGAGCATCTCTGAGACTCAGACTGTGAGGATGCAGTTTCCTGAGGAAGGCAGGTCTAACCGTATTCTAGGCAGATTAAGAAATACTAGGTCTAAGGAACAATTTTGGTTACGGTATTTGAGTCAGTGTTTGTTGACAATAAGCCGACTGCGACTCCAAAACACGTCAAAAGAGATCCCGTGTCATTCAAGATCTGCCATCTACATTTTCTCTAAGCAGCCCATACGCTCGAGGCACAGACGCCTTGCCTGTCTCCAGACACCTCCTGATGTTTTAGGATTACGGAGTTTCAAACCTGTTGTCCCGCCAGGGTGTGACGCTGTTTTCACGCAACATCTTTACTCTTTATCTAGAAGAACCCTAGCAGTTGTGGAAGGCTTAACTCAAATGGTAGTTCCTTTCTGAATTTTTGCTCAAACTTCTCTGTCTCCCACAATTTGTCATTTATTTCTCTTTCCTCCTCTGAAATATAATTACATTCCTCCTTTGCTGTCTTTTCGTGCGCTGCTTTTACGCTGGTAAGGCTGGTTCCATTGCTCTCCTGGCTGGGGTTGGACAAGCACCAAGATAGAACAATGGAGGGAAGAAAAGAGAAGTCCCTGACTCCTTTTGATACAGTGAGCTAAGCTGCCTGGCACAGTAACAGTCTGTTTATGTTGTAGGAGATTGACCTTGAAGCTGAACCAGTGAGATTCCCTCTGTTTCTTTTCTATGTTACGTGCTTGGGTTTGAAGTCCGTTTGCTTCGGTTTGACCTTCCTACCTATTCACTTCACAGCTCTCTTCATTAGGCACCTTACCTGTTAAAAAGTAGGTCTCAGGGGAAAACATGGTGGAAAAAACTAAAAACTAAAAAATAAAATATCCTCGATACCTTAACCTAGCTTTTTGTTTTTGTTTTTGTTTTGAGAGAGAAGGAAAACACAAGTGGGGGATGGGCAGAGAGAGAGGGAGACACAGAATCCCACACAGGTTCCAGGCTCTGAGCTGTTAACGGGAGCTCATTGGGCGGGGGCTCAGAATCACAAACCCTGATATCATGACCTGATCCAAAGTCAGCAGCTTAACCAACTGAGCCACCCAGACACCCCAAACTTAGCTTTTTCAAAAAGTCGTTGTTTCCAATGCACAGATGTGTAGGCAGCCAGCTATGAGATTCTTTTCCTTTATAATGCAGGTATGGGTAAACCAGAATAACTTTTGACTTAGGTATCAAGCCTGGAAACTTGAAATACAAGGCCAACAAGGGATATGTACTTGCACTTCAGTGGTTTGCTGTGGACTCCATTCTGCCCCCTTGTGGACTTAAAATCCCTGTACAGTAGAATTTGTTTATTGAATGGGTTTACCTAGATGGCTCTTGCTTGGGGTGTCTAATGCAGTTTGTGTGAAACGACGACTGGGCCTGGTGTTATTTCAAATCCTTCCGCCTAACATCCGGGGCTCTTGATTCTGACCACAGACCTTTGCAAGGTGGCTGAGTTACAAGAACAGTTTTCCTAAAAAGCCCATTTTTCAAACAACAATACAAGCTGCATAGAATGACTTGTCAACATTCGGGAAATGACCCACTGAGAGAGCTAGAACCCAAATCGGACCTCCCAGGTATAGGAAGCCAATTGCGTGGCTACCTCTCTATCTATCCCAACACAATCAGTCAGGGCCCTTTCAAAACAAACATTTGAACATTGCTACCCAGAGTGTGCTTTGGATTTATCATTTGTGCTCCCTGGGACACTTGCAAAATTCCACTTTAGGTAACTGCCACGTGGCTACAAATTCCCAGGTGCAGGCATTCAATAGGCATAATCTCTCCATGTAATTCTAATTCTGATTTCAGTTTCTCTCCAGATAGTTTGTTTCTCCAGGCTTTTATTCAGATATTTTTATTCATTAGTAATAATTTTGGGGCTGAAAGCACCAAAAACAGTATCCAGTTATTAGTACTTTGTTTGGTGCTAACGAGGACATAGGATGATTTAAATTAATGATTATTTGTAAGTGAAGTGATTTTGCCCAACTAGCAATGGAAGAGTGGATCCAGAATGCAAGCTTTTGAATCACAATTCTCTCTGCTTGTTTCTTCACTGACGTGTCCCAAGAACCTAGAAAGATGTCTGGGATATGGCAGGTAATCAGTGAATAGTGCATGAATGATGATTTAAGAAGAATAAACATTTTGGGGTGCCTGGGTGACTCAGTCGGTTGAGCGTCCGACTTTGGCCCAGGTCATGATCCTGTGGTTAGTGAGTTCGAGCCCCACTTCAGGCTCTGTGCTGACAGTTTGGAGACTGGAGCCTGCTTCGGATTCTGTCTCTCTCTCTCTCTCTCTCTCTCTCTCTGCCCCTCCCTAGCTTATGCTCTCACTCTCTCTCTCTCTGTCGAAAAGAAATAAACTTAAAAACATTTTTTTAAATAAAAAAGAAAGAATAAATATTCTATATCAGAGTTTACTTTGTAGGAAATTTGGGGTAGTTAATAAAACAATATTTAGGAGCTGATATATGGGATGTGAATGCTTTGTTCATGCTGCTTTTCTGAGTGAACGCCCTTCTTTCCTCTTTACCTGTTGGGAACTTCCAATATTTTTTTCAACGTTTTTTAATTTATTTTTGGGACAGAGAGAGACAGAGCATGAACGGGGGAGGGGCAGAGAGAGAGGGAGACACAGAATCAGAAACAGGCTCCAGGCTCCGAGCCATCAGCCCAGAGCCTGACGCGGGGCTCGAACTCACGGACCGCGAGATCGTGACCTGGCTGAAGTCGGACGCTCAACCAACTGCGCCACCCAGGCGCCCCTAGGGAACTTCCAATATTTTTCACACTCAAATGAAGTCTATCTTCTAGAAAGTGACCTGTGATTGTTTCGGCACAGTAGATGTTGTTTTCTATGAAATCTTGTACGTTCAGCCTTACCCACCTACTTTGTATTACATGTATTATCCATTCCTTTCTCCCTCAATTTTGTCACTATGCTAAGACAAATTCAGGTCTCTCGGGTCATTTATTTTACTTATTTTCAAATTTTCACACTACTTAGGGGCTCAGCATATAATTGAACTGCTTCGGGCTTATCAGTGTTTTTTCCTGAATTAATATCCATTTCAGTTAGCAGGCAGCGACAGACAAAAACAACACAGAGGAGGGATTGCTACAACAAACCGAAATAATGTCCCAAATCTCTAACCAGTTAAAGCACAGCAAACGAACCCTCAGCAAATTATGTTTACATTTTTCACATTTAATTAACGGGATTATACAATGCCAAAATAAACTTATAAGAGAAACAATAAGTACAAATACAATCGTATTTGCTACCTTCGTCAGTTAAGTTTTGCTACGTGACAGATCACCTCAAAACTCAGTGGATTAAAACACAATGACTTAGTTTGCTCACCAGATTATGGGTCAGCCAGAAGCTTCTACTGATCTGATGCTGGTTTGGCTGGTCTCGTCTGGGCTCACTCATGTACCTGGGGGCTGCTGACTGACCAACTGAAGGCCGACTGGGCTAGGGGGACCTTAGTCAGCTGTGGGCCAGTGGGCTTACTGTCCACTTGGCTAATAGGCCCACGCGTTTCTTATTCTCCATCAGACTATCTCAAGTTAATCAGACGGTGGCTGGGA